TGTTAGAGGTCCTGGAGGTTGTTTTCTCCTTTGTGCTTGCTTTTGAGATTTTTTCGAACAAGTCGATGAGAACCAAATGTGAGTACTCTCTTTTTTGAATAAATTGGTCAATACTGAATGATACATTGGTGTTGTATACCTAAGGTTTGTGGGAGGATCAGTGAATGTCGAGTCGCAATAACTTTTCATTATGCCTTGGGTTTACACTTAAAAATTGTTATCAAGGATTTTGAACATCCGACAAGTCAATGAAGACTGAATCATAGGCATTTCCTGCCAAAAAGTCGATACCAAGTGTTTTGAATGCCTTCAATGAATCTATGAGAACCGAGTCTCTAAGGCTTTGTGTAGTGCCTTAATTTAGCTCGTGAGAATTGATACCAAGAACTTTGAATGCCCGATAGGTCGATGAAGACCGAGTCATAAGGGCTTTCCTCCATGCCTTAAGTTTACACTTGAAAACTGATACCAAGAATGTTGTTGGTCTCTGAGAGATCCAACGTTGTGCCATCGTTTTACTTATGGGAACAATTATAAGGACACATTTTGTGCCTTGTGGTTACCCTAAAAAGAGACCCAGGCTTCGGTGGCCTTAGCTGAGTTGATGAAGATCGAGTTGCAAGGACTCCGCGCTGCGCCTTGGTTTTAATCATGAGATCGATACCAAGGTCTTGGTTTGTGTCTTGGATTTACTCTTAAAAGACACTAATGGCTTTGGTACATGCATTGGCTTTACTCTGAAAAGACTCCAAGTATTTAGGAGGCCTTGGTTGAGTCAATGAAGATCAAGTTGTAAGGACTTTGCGGTGTGCCTTGGTTTTAGTCATGAGAATGATATGAAAGTTTTGGTTCCTGGCTTGGGTTTACCTTAAAAAGACAACGAGCACTTAGGAGGCCTTGGCCGAGTTGATGAAGATTGAGTTGCAAGGACTCTGTGCCATGCCTTGGTTTTACTCGTGAGAGAGATACCAATATATTGATTCATGCCTTGGGTTTACTCTGAAAAGATATCAAGGGTTTTAGGAGGCATTAGTCAAGTCGGTGTAGATGCTACACCCTAAACTTACTATGTATATGTCAGTCTAAAATAAACCAGAGGGCGGGAACTTTTGGTGCACTTTAGCAGGCGATTATTCACCTGCTAACGTGTACCTCCGCTTTGTTTCTCATGAGGAAGAAGAAGAGAAGCAGCAGAGGAACCATTGATTGTGAATTGAGAGATTCTCTCTTTGAGTTTTCTTCAGCGTCCAAGCCTAGAGAAGGATCTGAAGCCATAGAGATTTCCTTGAAATCCATTGAAATAGAGAGCACATGTCCAAAAGGAGCTAGGATGAAGTTGTCGATTCAAGAGATTTTAGCTAGATCCAGTTTGGTCTTGGATTCGCAATCTCATCTGGGTCAGGCTAGATCTGGTAATTTGATTCATCGTCATCCGAGTAAGTCACCTTCCTCTATCTCTTGGGCGGATAAAATTGTTGAAGAAGTTGATTCTGGTTCTGAATTGATTCAATCTGATTCTGGAATTGTTGAGATCAATAAATCTCATATTCTGGCCAGTGTTCAATCTGAAGACAGTAATTCTAATTCTGATAATTTTGTGCAACCTGATAATGATGTGGATAAAGCAGAGATTATTTGTAGACAGTAATTCTAATTCTGATAATTTTGTGCAACCTGATAATGATGTGGATAAAGCAGAGATTATTTGTCAGGAGGATGCTGAAATCAAGAATACTGGTGCAACCTGATAATGATGTGGATAAAGCAGAGATTATTTGTCAGGAGGATGCTGAAATCAAGAATACTGAAGGTATCAAGAAAACATTTGTTAGCCTTTTTGCGGACAATAGGAGATCTGGTAATGGTTTACCATTGAATTTTGTTAAATCTACTCTAACCAACACTGTTACATTCTCGACTGATGAATGAAAAGAGGAGGAGAATTATTGGAAAAATACTTTAATTGGATATGTCATTGGCCTAAATGTGCAATTTATATCTATGCAATCTTATGTGAACAAGATTTGGGGAAAAATTTCTATTCCAAGAATTTCTCTAATCAAGCAAGGAATGTTTCTGTTTGATTTCCAAATAGAAAAGCAAATGCAAGAAGTTTTAGATGCGGGTCCTTGTTTCTTTGGATCTAGGCATATGGTTCTTAAGCCTTGGACAATTGATATTGACATAGATAAATTCCAGGCTTATAGATATCCAATGTGGGTTCAATTCCCAAATTCGCATCTTAATTTGTGGACGTCAACTGGTTTGAGCAAAATTGCCAGTGTGATTGGTAATCCTATTGTAACTGACAAACTTACAGCTAATAGGCAAAGGTTGAGTTATGCAAGGGTCCTGTTGGAAATTGATTTACCTCTTAAAGAGAGTTTACCTGACTTGATTGAAGTTCAAGGACCTTATGGAATAAAATATAATCAAAAAGTTATATATGAACTCAATCTAGATGGTGCTCTATGTGTAACATTGTTAGACATGAAACTGAATTTTGTAGGAAAAGAATTTCTAAAATGAAATGGATGTCTGTCAATAGGCCAAAGGAGCCGGTGCACGTTCCTGTTGATGTGCATGTTCAAAACTCTGTACAGGAAGGAAATGTTGAAAAAAGAACAGCTACTAATGTGCCTATGCAATATGCTAATGAAAATCAGATTGGAGTTATGCAGCAGGAACATGACAAACCTATCAATGCTGGTCAATCTGGGCAAAATTCAGGAAAAACTATTCAGGGAGGCAATAACAAAAAATCTGGAACTGATATTCCTTTGCAAAGACATTATGATAAGCAATAAGGACATGGAACTAGGGGTGTTTTTATAGGGCAATCCAGTAAAAGCATTTAAAGCTCTGAAAGGTCTACACAACAGAATTCTGCAAATGCTAAGGAATGCTCTCCTACTGTAAATGCAACTGGTTTCACAAGTGCGAATAGTCCTATTTTAGGAAGAAGGTCTGGAAAAAATACTAATGGGGCTTCTTGCATACAAACTTCTTCTTTTTCTATACTGGATTATCAGTTAGACCTAGACCCCTCTTGTATTGATAGAGGGGGATCTCTAAAATGAACCTGGCCATTTGGAATATTAGAGGGTTTAATAAATCCTCTAAACACATGATAGCTAAAAATCTTATTCATGACTATAATCTTTCTTTCTTAGCTCTTTTGGAAACCAAAGTTGTTGGAAACAGAATGCAGGCTATTGCAAAAAGAGTAGCTAAAGATTGGGAATGGATTTCAAATTTGTCTGAAGCAAATAATGGCAGGATATGGATTCTTTGGAATAATGATTTTCTTACAGTTCAGACTTTATCTTCCTCTAATCAACATATGACTTGCGATGTTGAGTCTAAAGATGGTAAACTTTCATGTGTCATCACAGTGGTATATGCCTTAAATCAAATGAATCGGAGGAAAATTTATGGCAAGAATGGCTGGCTTTCAATCAAAATGGCCATTGGTTGGTTGGTGGGGATTTTAACACTATTCTGAATAATGAAGAGAAACTGGGTGGTGCACAAGTTACTGATGCAGACACTATTAATTTTCAAAACTTCATAAGTCAAAGTCACTTGGTCCAGCTCAAGGCAACAAGATGTTTTTATACTTGGAGTAATAAACAAGAGGCTGAATCTAGAATATGGTCCAGACTAGACAAAATGTTGGTGAATGAAGACTGGATACATCAATACACTTCAAGCCAAGTTGAATTTCTAATGCA